CGCTCTTCCGATCTCTCAAATTTAAATGGTCGGCCCCTTACCAAACTTAATTGACTATTTAGGTAGGAGAAGGCACGTCTGATTCAGCCACAGGGACTAAAAAATCACGTCGTAAGGATTTTGAGATTACGTGCTATGGTGATCATATTTCCTTGCGTTTCTGGATCTCGTGGAAATAAAATTGTGGTTCAACTGGTTGAAGAGAAACTACATGTCCACAACGCTAGATTAAGCAAATGTTTAGCTGGAAAAACTTCAAGAATGCTATTCTACGTTCCCTGGGTTTAGAGACGGACGATAGTATATCTCCTGCAGGAGACGCCGATCGAATGACAGATGGTTAACTTTTTATAGTCACCATTTTCTTTACGTAAAAACGATTATTCTTGTTCAGTATATTCCCGAAACCAATAGTGTCTTGATCGTTGACATTTCTAACCGTATCTGGCAGAGAACACCAGAGTTTAGGCGGACCTTGATAAAGTATGGTGAACTGTTCTATAATAGTTCAATTTATAGTATTAAGTTGTAAAAAAAGACGATAGCATATAAAACTTGTTGCAGTAGGAAATTATAAATTTTCCAGTGTATTATAAGGCTTTTATCTTATGAAAATCACTTAGGTATAGTATCCTCCACTCAAAACCAGAATTTTCAGTAATCTGTAACCACCCAGTAGACTAGACGACTACAATGCAATAGACCAGATAAGTTCTTCACAAGTGATGACTAACATGCAGCATATAGCATATAGCAAGCGCTTTTAAAAATACGTGGGAATCCCACGTCAGTGCATTTTTTAAGGATTCTTCAGTGGTGGGTCAAAACTGCCAAAGGGCCCATTATCTCCTTGTCCTCTGCCCAGGATAGTATATACGATCGCCGAAGGTGTGAGCCGAGTACCGCAGGCACGGGGTAGCTAGGGGGGTCTGAAATTTTCAAAATTTGGGTCTCTGAAATAGCATTTCGTGCATTCTGAGAACCATAGGCGTACCGGGCGGGGGGGCGGGGGGGCGGGGGGGCGGCAGCCCCCCCAGTTTTTCGGGCAGTCGGGCAATATTCGATCAACAGTCGGGCAATTTTGGCTTGCAATAAAAAAAAATGTGACAAATTCTGTAAATTTTGTCTAAAATTAAGTCAATTTCTTGGCAAATTTTGTGATTTTTCGAAAATTTTGTGTATGTTCCGAAAAATATTGGTTGTCCGGAAAATTTTTTTGACCCCTAAAATGGTACACTGACTGAAAATGTTTTGGCGACGGGGGGGGGGGGTCGCCAAAAAAATTTTTCCGGAAAAAATTTTTTTGGTCCTAGTCGGGCAAAATCCCGAAAAGTCGGACAATTTTCTTTCCGCCCCCCTAATTTTTTCCTTCCGGTACGCCCATGGTCTTTAGTGTTTGATAGTTCGTAAAACAACTTCTAAATTTAAACACCCTATATACGAATTCAAATTGCGTTTAATTTTAAGCCTTCCAAATTTTTGCGGAATTTGCAGTTTAGTGAACATATATTTTCGAAATCATTTGCAACGCCATGCAGAACTCAGAAGCCAGAACGTGTAGTTTAGTAGAACTGATGTACAACGAGTATAGTTGCTCTTGATGCAGGGCCGGTGGTGCGAGCCCTTTTTTATTTGGGAGATGTAACTGAAATTTTGCCAAGTCATTTTTGTAGGTTAGAATTTTCACTTTTCAGCCGTTACACCTTTTGCCGACAAATTAAACCGGAAAACAATTTAACAGCTAACTGTCGTTGTTCCACTCCCCCCCCCCCCCCCCCCCGCCCCC